CACTGTATACTGGGCTGTTGTCAAGGACGGAGACAGGTAGATTTCATTGAGGAAAACCATCCTGAAACGCATGGTTTTTCTCTTCCTCCAATTCAAACTCCAGACAATGAGTCAGCAGGCGGTGTTCTCAAGACCAGAGCTAGAAAGAGCTCCAATCACCCCGAATTCTTTGCTGTAGGACGCGGAAAATCTATCCAAATCATCTATCCATCTGTTATCATGAAGAACTCTTTCCTGAAAAATGGAAAAGAGCGCATTGTTGATACAGATCGCTACCTTGCCCACAGATCTCTCAAGGTCAACACCGGCAAGGCAGGCAAAGACTTCACATTCAGTGAGGACGATACAACCATCGTTTCACTTGACAAGGCTGGACGAGTTAAATTCTGGGATGTTCGTCCTCTTACACAGATTCCGGAGGATGAGCTTCATCAAAAAGCACCTCCGGTTGAGATCAAAGAGCCACTTACGACTCTTATCACAACTCCAGCAACTGAAAAATCATGGCCTACTTCGGTCTTGTTTGTTGATAAGCTTCGCCCTTATCAAAAAGGTGGTCCACTGCGATACATGATTGTTGGTATGAAACAAAATCATACTTTACAATTGTGGGATCTTGCTTTGGGAAAACCTGTTCAGGAAATTCACTTGCCTCATAGCAAAGAATCGGATGCTGTTTGTAGTGTATTGTATCACCCTGCAACTGGAGTTATTGTGGTCGGACACCCTACACGAAATTCGATCTATTTCCTCCACCTCTCTGCACCTAAATACAACCTTCCACGCACTGTCACCCAAGCAGAATATGTCGAGAGGCTTGCGAACAACGACTCCAGTGTTTCCAAACCAGAATCTACTGCTGTTGTTAGTGGCATGAGAGAATATTCATTCGCTAGCAAGGGCAATCTTCGAAGCTTGGACATTTTACAAAATCCTGCTGCCCCATCTAATCGTGGAGAACCGATTACTCTGTTTGAGTTATATGCTATGCATTCGAAGGGTGTTACTTGCCTCAACATCAAACAAGCTGATCTAGGCTGGGACGCCAATAATAAGTGCATCTCTGCAGTAGTGGCTGATAGAGTTGGTGCTGTTACTATTGATACGTTGAAGGAAATCAACACTGCACCACCTGCAACACCGTCGGAATCAAGTGAGCCAGCACCTGAGTCTTCGCTTGCACCGGCTCCTACTCCCACACGCATCATCCAACGCCCAGCTGCCAAGGAGAATACTCCCAAGGAAACAAAGAAGACTGCGCAGCCAGAGACATTTTCAGTGCCCAAAGCTGAAGAGAAGGTTGAAAAGAAGGAAGTTCCGGCTGCACTTTCCAGTGGTGGTTTAGCCGGCGCTAGTGGAACTGAAAATAAGGCTGAGAAGAAGAAGCGACGAAAGGCCAACTCATCTTCCGAATTTGCAGTAAATTCTTCTCAACCTAAAAACGTCGCAACAGAAAATATTTCAGCACCAAGAAACGGCAGTGCTTCTCGCGCCAACATGAATAACATTCCAGATGTCGGTAGCTCTTCAAGCTTCTCAACAACTGGCTTGACGGAGGAAGTTCTTAAGGATATTGAAGGTCGCGTTTCTGGGGAAGTCAAAAAATTGCTTAACGATTCTTTCAACAGTTTGGATCAAAGAATTAAGGATGACAGACGTACTCAAAATGCTGTCAATGATGCGAAACAAGATGCTGTCCTTCGTCTCGTATCTAGCACTCTTACTGGTAACTTGGAAGAGTCATTGAAACGTATCGTCAATGGGGCTTTAGAAAACTCTATTGTTCCCTCCATCGAAAATATCACCTTAAAGACCATCGATCAACGAGTTTCTCCAGCTCTTGCCAATCACTTGAACCAAAGCTTACCAAGAGAATTGGGAAAAGATTCTTCCAGATGCTGTCAACAATGGTTATGCAGCAACCTCAGCTTTTGAAGTTGATGTCAGAAACCTTGGCAAAGAGTGTTTCATTCCCCTTCGAAGAGCAATTCGCTACTCTTTTGAACAACAGCATCACTCCTGCTTTTACTCAGTTAGCTGTCAATGCCTCTCAACGAGTCGCAGCTGATGTTCATCGCCAGGCTCAAGAACAGATCGGTAACATTGAACGTCAACGCCATGCCGATAGCCTTAAGATCGAACAATTGACACAACTTGTCACTGGGTTGACGGAGACTATTTCGTCCATGGCCGCTGCCCAATCTGAGTTTCAAGCTCAATTCTTGCGTGTCCAGCAGAGGGATAGACAAGCATCGTCTTCTCACCGTGCCAGTCCTGGCTTAGGTCATAACTCCAGCAGACCATCTGTCTCTTCTGGACTTGCAGCTCCTGTTGTTGAGGAGAAGTCGCCACAAGAATTAGAGTATGAGGAGATGTTCAAGCATATTCAAGGCCCTATGCAAGAGGGTAGATACGAAGATGCTGTTGTCCGTTGGTTGCAGACTGGTAGAGAGCAAGAATTCTTCGCAAGATACTTCTGCAGGTTCTCTCCAAAGTTCATCACTGAACTGAGCCCACTTTTGCTCCTCAGCCTTGGCGCTATCATCACTATTGAGTTGACTGATGATCTTATGAATCAACGTCTTGCCTGGACTGAAACCATCTTGAACTCCTTCCAGATCAAGATGGTCAGTGGATATCTTGTAAGTTTTGTGCGCTTCTATTATATTTACTGTATACTAATATTATCTACAGGAGGATCAGGTAGCGGATCTGGTCCTCAAGATTATGAATA